ACCAGACATGGCCTGGTTGGAGCCTGGGCTGAGGTTGTCATACACCTACTCACAGGGTGCTGTGATGTGCGACTTTAAAGACTTCCTTTCTCTACTGAATGTTTTCAGCTGGGACGAGCTTTGTCCTTGTCAGTACTCTTAGCAGTTTGTCAAGCATAGTGAGGACACTCTAATACAGGAGGTGTGTTACTGGCCAGATCACCAGATGAAAACAAAGGGAAAAAATCCTAAGAAAAGAAAACCAATGCAGCCACCACATCTAATGACTGGTAAGCTGCAATATATATATTACATTTTGGGTTTTGGGTTTAATGCAATTTTAAGAGCAACTAACCACAGTTCCAGAAGAGAAGGCCTGTACTGTACATTTTAATTGATTGCTATGAGTTAGTCTAGATAAGAATTAGCACTTAAACTGGAATTTCTGCCATTTTATTTTTTAATATAGAAGAGAATGAATGCAAAGGAAATGGATTAGAAACTCTGCCAAGTTTTATTTTCAATCTGTGCCAGCCTTTGCTAATTTGTGTTCATTTTCTGTCATGGTGAAAAAAGTGATTTTATTGCTATCTGTGTCCTGGCCCAATGACCATAGAAAAGAGAGATTTTCACAGGACACAGATAGCATATATATACATATAACAAGCATGTATAAAATCAAGCACCTAGGCATGCAGAATGCTTCTACAAATATTTGTAAAAGAATGGGTCACTCTCAAGAACTCAGTGAATTCAAGCGTGATACAATCATAGGTTACCACCTGTGCAATAAGGCCACTCCAAGACCTCCAAAAATGGAGACATGTTAACTGGAGTGAGGAATCACTCTTCTTTGTCTGGCAATCCAATGGACGTGTCAGGGTTTGGGGTTGCTCTCCATTCCCATGCTGAGCAGCTGCCCTGCTGCTAACTGTGCACAGCAGGTCAGCCACTTGACAAGGGCACCAATCAGAGAATTGACCAATGTAACTAGGTATATCCAAATCTGGAATTCATCTTTAATTAATGTTATACACAGATCAGCATTTTCTGCAGTTTCCTACCTTGTAACAAAGTTATAGTGATGCTGTCTGAACAGAAGAAAGAATGAGGAAATACTTCTTCTTCCTGCCTGCAGACAGTGACACTATATTAGGTAGGCAAAGTCATTTGACATGAGTTCCAGGATGGCCTTCAGATACAAGTTAGGATTTTTTCTAATGTTACTGTTACTTTAGGAAGCTCAGCTCAATAAACCTTTTTGAGCCTGCTGTACCTAGCGCGTCCTGTGGCAGGCAGCAATTATTGTAAGCTCCTCCTTTTCATATAGCTCATACTGTGCCAGGTCAACAAGGGCACAAAAAATAACATATTTTGTTTAAAAAGTAATTTTTTTTTGCAGTTAACTTTTTCAGCTTAGGCTTTGAAGCTCTTCCTAAAAAAATGTGCTAATATTTTTGTGCGAATGTGTTTGTATAATAATTATATGAGGTACAGTATTATATAATAATACAATAATACATAGTAACAGTAAAATAAACACATTAGTTTCATGTTCTGGATTAGTTTATTTATTTTTTGGAAGCTAAGCTCTATAAACCTCACCTTGTCTTGTATCCCAGTGCCCGTAACCTTTGTCCTGTGACCCACTAGCCCCAACTTTATGGTGTGTCCAACTCAGCCCAACCCTGGCGTGTAATTGGATTTCTCTAACCTTGTCTGTGGCCTACTCCCACTAACCTTGTTGTGTGACTATATTTCCTTAATGTTCCCCTAAAACCCATCCCATGTGACCCACCCACTTCTATGACTCTCCTGAATCTTCTCCTGTGATCCACTTCCTCTAACCTTTTCTTGTGACCTGTTCACCCCTTATACAATAATACATAGTAACAGTAAAATAAACACATTAGTATTATGTTCTGGATTTGTTTTTCAAATTTTTTAGGAAGCTAAGCTCTATAAAGCACTCTTGTCTAACCTTGTCTTGTATCCTGGTGCCCCTAACCTAGTTCTGTGACCCACTAACCATAAGTTTATGGTATGATCGACTCAACCCAAGCCTGGCCTTTAACCCACTTTCCCTAACCTTGTTTGTGACCTACCCCCCCAACCTCGTTGTGTGACTATTTGCCCCTAAACTTCCCCATGACCGACTTCACCTGGATTTTCTTATGACTTACTCTTCCTAGCCTTCCTTTGTGACCCACTTTCCCTAAACTTTTCTTGTGACCTATTAACCCCTTATGTTCTATTTTGAGCCACTCCCCCTAACCTTGTCCCATTTAAAAAAAAAAAAATTGGAAACACCTAATATCTATTATTACAAAACATTTTTACAGAAACAGGAACAGCAAAACATAGAAAATGATAAAAAAGCAGTATATTCACGCTAAAAATAAACCAGAAGAAGATACAGCAGCTACTTATGTGATTGTGATTGTGGTACCAACCCTCTGTACACTAGTATAGTTTTTTAACTGTTATCTGTTTTGACTGGTTGATGGACATTTTGCGCATGCGTGGTCTGGTAGGTGGACATCTTGCGCATGCACAGTCTGTTGACCAGCAGACACCTGGCGCAAGCACAGAATCTTTTCATTGTAGTGGGCTTGTGTGTATATATTCTCTCTTTACATGATGACGGACGTTCAGCCCGTCCCCCGAAGATTCAATTCTGACTAAATGCGTTGGGATTGGCTTGCACCGTGACACATCATCACATTCTAAGCTGATGGTGATTGGTGTTTCTTCCGTTGTTTGGGAGCTATCTGCCTGCAACGTTTTTATGGTTTTTATTAAGACTTGCTGTCTTTTGAACAAGTGTTGCTAGAAACCGTTTGTTTACTTTGGAGATTCAGTAAATGGTGTGAAACCTTTTTTTACTTATTTCACCATAGAAGTTTTTTTTTTTTTTCTTACTTTTTGCTGTTGATGGATTTCTGATTCTGTGCTGAGTAGATGGTACCTGTGGAGGAGTTTCATGGGCGCATATGGCCATTTATACATGATAGTCCACAGGTGCGGACTGACAACTCATGGGGCCCCCGGGCAATAGGGGATCATGGGGCCCCTGTGTCCTTGCCCAAACTCAAAAAAGCCTATGAAAAAGGTACCAGGGGCATCTCATGGGCCCCCTACTGGCCCCGGGCCCTCGGGCAGTGCCTGAGTTTCCAAATGGTCAGTCCACCCCTGATAGTCCACCATTTTTGTTAAGAGGTGACAGACAACATGGTGTACCTGGTGTTGGAGTTTATCACACCACTGCATATATGAAGAGTGATTGGTTGCACATTTGTAGATTGCTTTTCTCTCAGCACTTTAATATTGGACTCATTTGATTTATATGTTCAATATGGACTTTTTGCACTTATGCTAATATTTGCACATTGGACTTTTATATACTTTATTATTTTTTATGCACATTATATTGATCAGATGATTCACTTTAGCACTTGCACTTTATTTTCTGAAAACATAGAAAATGCTGAGTACTTTGCAGTTGAACTCTCTTGCCTAATTCGACATTTATGTCTACAGTAATTCTACTAAACATATAGTCTACACTACATACATAACACATTTAAATGTCATTGGTTTACCAGAAGATCAGGGCGCATTTATCATTAAAAATATGTAGCACATACCACACCACAAAGTTGAGTTCACATAAAAAATTTGGCCACTTTGGCAATTGTTTTTACTTTAAAATGACTTTATTTGCTTAAACTATGGACCAACCATTATCTTAATCTTAGGCCAAAAAGCTTTTAGAATAACATAAGAGTGTTCCATGAGGTATAAAATTACTTGTTTTGTGTTTTTTTCAAAAGTGTAAGAAAATTATATTAATGTACATTAAATGAACTGTGTTGCATTTTTTTTAAATCATTTTTTGTAATGGATTGATGCCGCTCGTGTGAAAGGTCCCTAAATCTTAATCTGTATTCTAAAATCTTGTAGTACCCCAATTGCACCTCAGAGCGCCGCTGTTGAACCAATAAGGGAAGGATGTGAGAGATGCATGCCTCTATGAGACAGGCAGTACAACTGCAAGAGTAGATATAGAGCATTTCTGCATGAGATGGGAGGGATTCAGGTCTGATAAAGAAGAAGGTATCCTGGAATTTAAAATACAGTTAAGGATTATACATTCTACAAAGGATTCCTCTTACATATTCCCAACAACAGAAGGAATGGCTGTCTTGAAGATGCATCATCAACAGTCTCTCCTGGAAATCAGATGGCAAGTAGTGATTTCATTATTTTCCTGGCTGTGTCATTCAGTCTCTGCTCAGATTCAGTATTCCATTGTAGAAGAAATGAGGAAAGGTTCAGTTGTTGGTGATTTAGTGAAAGATCTTGGAATGAATGTGAAGGATATCACAGCAAGAAAACTCCGTATTGTGTCTGATGTTTCTGAAAAATATTTCAGTATCAATCTGGAGAATGGAGACCTTTTCATTGCAGAGAGGATAGACAGAGAGACATTGTGTGGGGCTGCAGCTGATTGTGTCCTGGCCTTTGATGCTGTGGCTGAGAATCCTTTAAATGTGTTTAATGTTAGGATTGAAATTCAAGATATAAATGACAATCCACCAACATTTCTCTATGAAACAAGTAGATTAGAAATAAGTGAATCTGCTTCACCAGGAGCAAAATTTGTTTTGCAGAAAGCTGAGGATTTGGATATAGGAATGAATACACTGAAAAGCTACAAGCTGAGTCCAAATGAGCACTTTGTCTTAGGAGAAAGGATCAGCTCTGATGGCAGTATATTTCCTGAACTAGTTCTAGAAAAGCCTCTAGACCGAGAGACACAAAATTACCACGAACTAATTCTATCAGCTTTCGATGGTGGAAATCCAGTACAAACAGGCACTGCACTGATTAAGATTGCCATCGCTGATATTAATGATAATATACCTATATTTACCCAAGAAATATATAAAATAAGCATTAAGGAAAATATACCTTTTAATTCTACAGTTCTGCAGGTCAGGGCAACGATGATGATGAAGGTGTAAATGCCCAGATTACATATTCTTTTCATACCCGGGCAAATAATATTCTCCAAATGTTTACAATTAATCACAAGAATGGAGACATTAGAACAAAGGGACATTTAGATTATGAAATGAGAAAACACTATGAAATATCTGTACAAGCCATGGATGGAGGAGGGCTGGCTGCCCATGCCAAAGTTTTAATAGAGATATTGGATGAGAATGACAATGTTCCTGAGATAACCCTCACCTCCCTGTCTTCTCCTATTCCTGAAGACACATCACCTGGAACTGTGGTGGCTCTCATTGCAGTTCGTGATAAAGACTCAGGAGAAAATGGAGACGTTTATTGTCAAATCATTGGGGATATTCCATTTGAATTAGTGTCATCAGCAAGTAACTTCTATAAAATTGTTACAAAAGATACTCTGGACAGAGAAAAGATGTCATCCTATAACATCACTATTCAAGCATCTGACAAGGGTTCTCCTCTTTTGTCTTCTGTAAAAGTCATCTATTTGGAGTTGGCGGATGTTAACGACAATGCACCTGTTTTTGAGAAGCTGATTTACACTGCATTTGTACCAGAAAATAATTTACCAGGAGCTTCCGTATTTCATATCCAAGCGAAAGATATTGACAGTGAAGAAAATGCAAAACTGACTTACTTTATAGTAAGTAACATTAGTGACAAAGATCCCATATCCTTGCATGTATCTATAAATCCAGTGACTGGAGTCATTTATGCGCAAAAATCATTTGATTATGAGCAACACAGAGAATTCCACCTTCAGGTCATTGCTAAAGATAATGGTTTTCCATCACTGAACAGCAGCACAACTCTAAAAATTCATGTGGTAGACCAAAATGATAACTCACCAGTCATCTTATACCCACCAAGAGATAGTGATGGCCCTGTCTTTGAGATGGTGCCTTGGTCATCTGAACAAGGATCCTTAGTATCTAAAGTGGTTGCAGTGGATGCGGATTCTGGACACAATGCCTGGTTGTCTTATTTTTTGCAAGCGTCTGATCCATCACTTTTTACTATTGATCAGTATACTGGGGAGATCACAACATCAAAGGTTTTTCATGATAGAGATTCTTTAAAACATAAAGTTGTGATTATAGTAAAAGACAATGGTCACCCACCTCTTTCTGCTTCTGTGACTTTAAACCTGGTGATTGCTGATAATTTTCGGCAGATAATTCCTGAAATGAAAAAAAAACAGCCAAGCAAACTGGACTCTCAGTCGAATTTACAAATGTACTTGGTAATTGCCTTGGCATTGATTACTTTTCTGTTTATATTGACCGTGATAGTCGCTGTGATCTCTAAATGCAGAGAGTCTAAATCTTTGCCTTCCTTTGGCCCTGTGAATACACACCTATATCATACTGTAGATCCCAGATTTATTTCCCAGTTTAATGATGGAACATTGCAGCTGCCCTACTCATACAATGTTTGTCCAACTCTGGATTCAGCAGACTTCGCTTTCCTAAAAACTCAGCAGTGTGTTCCTGTTGTTCCTGTGGATAGACTAATTGATGCTGATGATTCAGGAATTGGTAATGAAAACATAAGAGGCCCTATAGCTGATGAAAGTCTTATTTTGCAGGTATGTTCAAACTATGATGTTTAATTAGTCTGCATTCTTTAAAGAAATGTTGCAAATATGTTTAAAAGTCTGTATTGACCCATACCGTATTGGCTAATCAGAGGAGGTCTCTAATGATTTTGTAATTTAGTTTTTTTATGAATGTGTAAAGAATAGTTTTTAAAAACGTTCTCTTGATATTAGCAGTTTCATACAATAGAGATCGGAAAGTATTGTGACCATAAGGTATCCATAGTTACTACACCTACATAAGATCGGTACTGATAGTGAATTCATAGGTGCTTTTCTTTATGGCTTTTTTTATGTTATAATGTCACAACACTAGTGACTGACTGTATTTATTAAATAAATGATATTATGTATACTTAACATAAGACAAATATTTTATGTTTATGGAAACATAATTTAATGAGGAATTAAACCTTTCTATCCTTAATACTTAAGGAAGCTGTCATCTTATCATCTGTTTGATCTGCATTTGCCATGGTACTGCACATGTGATCAGCAATGACACCAGACATGATCTGGTTGGAGCCTGGGCTGAGGTCGTTATACACCTCCTCACAGGGTGCTGTGATGTGCGACTTTAAGGACTTCCTTTCTCTACTGAATGTTTTGAGCTGGGATGAGCTTTGTCCTTGTCAGTACTCTTAGCAGTTTGTCAAGCATAGTGAGGACACTCTAATACAGGAGGTGTGTTACTGGCCAGATCACCAGATGAAAACAAAGGGAAAAAGCCTAAGAAAAGAAAACCAATGCAGCCACCACATCTAATGACTGGTAAGCTGCAATATATTATATTTTGGGTTTTGGGTTTAATGTCATTTTAAGAGCAACTAAGCACAGTTCCAGTAGAGAAGTCCTGTACTGTACATTTTAATTGATTGCTATGAGTTAGTCTACATAAGAATTAGCACTTAAACTGGAACTTCTGTCATTTTATTTTTAATATAGAAGAGCATTAACCACTTGCCATCCGCCTGCTGTTTATAAATGGCAGGGTGGTCGCACTCCAGGGGCAGATTGCCGTTCATAAACAGCACCCGCCTTTTCTAGCTCCCTGGTGAAACACTGATCGTCGGACGAGACCTCTGTACGAGGTCCCGATAATGTGATCACTGATTGGCCAATCAGTGATCACATGCAAAGTAGTAAGCAAGATGTCACTTGTGACATCATTGCTTACTACTTGTATGAATGATCACAGAGGTCACATGGTACAAGGCTATTCACAACAGCCTTGTACCATGTGACAAGTGTGTGACCAATCACAGCTCACTCAGTATTTCTCAATGGCTGCAAGAATGCAGACAGAGAGAAAGAGAAATTATTGCTTTTACATCCTATATGGGTGTAAAAGCAATCACTGTAAAAAAAAAAAAAATCTTCATCACCCTCCAACAAGTAGTACAGTGTCACCATGGTGACACTGTACTACTAGGGTGACAGTATGTAAAAAAAAAAAAACAAATAACAAATAATAATATAAAAAAATAAAATAAAAATGTAAAAAAAATGTTTAAAAATTATAATTTTTGGTTATAAACTAATTTGGCTTATTTTTTTTTTTTACTAAAAATATAACGGAATACATTTTGGTCAAGATTTATGATGAAAGATTATTTATTTGCAAAATTTTATAAGAAAAACACTTTTTTCAAAATTTTTGGACATATTCATTTACATAGCAAAAAAAATTTAAATCCCAGCGGTGAATAAATACCACCAAAATAAAGCTTTATCTATCTCAAAAAAATGGTAAAAAATTCATATGGGTACAGTATTGCATGACCACGCAATTGTCATTCAAAGTGTGATAGCGCTGAAAGCTGAAAATTGCCCTGGACAGGAAGGGGGTAAAAGTGTCTGGACAGGAAGTGGTTAATGCAAAGGGAAATGGATTAGAACCCCTGCCAAGTTTTATTTTCAATCTGTGTCAGCCTTTGCTAATTTTTGTTCATTTTCTGTCCTGGTGAACAAAGTGATTTTATTGCTATCTGTGTCCTGGCCCAATGACCATAGAAAAGACAGATTTTCACAGGACACAGATAGCATATATATATTTATATATATATGTATATATATATATATATATATATATATATATATATATATATAACAGCATGTATAAAATCAAGCACCTAGGCATGCAGAATGCTTCTACAAATATTTGTAAAAGAATGGGTCACTCTCAGAACTCAGTGAATTCAAGCGTGATACAATGATAGGTTGCCACCTGTGCAATAAGGCCACTCCAAGACCTCCAAAAATGGAGACATGTTAACTGGAGTGAGGAATCACTCTTCTTTGTCTGGCAATCCAATGGACGTGTCGGGGTTTGGGGGTTGCTCTCCATTCCCATGCTGAGCAGCTGCCCTGCTGCTAACTGTGCACAGCAGGTCAGCCACTTGACAAGGGCAACATTCAGAGAATTGACCAATGTAACTAGGTATATCCAAACCTGGATTTCATCTTTAATTAATGTTATACACAGATCAGCATTTTCTGTAGTTTATTACCTTGTAACAAAGTTATAGTGATGCTGTCTGAACAGAAGAAAGAATGAGGAAATACTTCTTCCTGCCTGCAGATAGTGACATTACATTAGGTAGGCAAAGTCAGGACGGCTTTTACTGATACAAGTTAGGACGTTTTTCAAAGCTACTAATGTTACTGTTACTTTAGGAAGCTCAGCTCAAGAAACCTTTTTGAGCCTGGTATACCTAGCGCGTTGTTTGGCAGGCAGCAATTTATTGTAAGCTCCTCCTTTTCATGTAGCTCATACTTTGTCAGGGCAACAAGAGCACAAAAAAAGATGACATATTTTGTTTAAAAAGTAATTATTTTTTTGCAGTTAACTTTTTCAGCTTAGTCTTTGAAGCTCTTCCTAAAAATGTGCTAATATTTTTGTGCGAATGTGTTTGTATAATAATTATATGAGGTACAGTATTATATAATAATACAACAATACATAGTAACAGTAAAATAAACACATTAGTTTCATGTTCTGGAGTTGTTTATTTTTAGGAAGCTAAGCTCTATAAACCCCTGTTGTCTAACCTTGTCTTGTATCCCAGTGCCCGTAACCTTGTCCTGTGACCCACTAACCCCAACTTTATGGTGTGTCCAACTCAACCCAACCCTGGTGTGTAATTCAGTTTACCTAACCTTGTCTGTGGCCTACTCCCACTAACCTTGTTGTGTGACTATTTACCCTTAATGTTCCCCTAAAACCCATCCCATGGGGACCCACCCACTTCTATGACTCTCCTGAATCTTCTCCTGTGATCCACTTCCCCTAACCTTTTCTTGTGACCTGTTCACCCCTTATACAATAATACATAGTAACAGTAAAATAAACACATTAGTATTATGTTCTGGATTTGTTTTTCTATATTTTTAGGAAGCTAAGCTCTATAAAGCACTCTTGCCTAACCTTGTCTTGTATCCCGGTGCCCCTAACCTAGTGCTGTGACCCACTAACCCTAAGTTTATGGTATGATGGACTCAGCCCAAGCCCGACCTTTAACCCAGTTTCCCTAACCTTGTTTGTGACCTACCCCCCCCCCCCTAACCTCATTGTGTGACTATTTTCCCCTAAACTTCCCCTATGACCCAACTTATTTATTTATTTCAGGTATTTATATAGCGCCGTCAATTTACGCAGCGCTTTACACATATATATATTGTACATTCACATCAGTCCCTAACCCTCAAGAGGCGTACAATCTAAGGTCCCTAACTCACATTCATACATACACATACTAGGGACAATTTAGACAGGATCCAATTAATCCTACCAGCATGTCTTTGGAATGTGGGAGGAAACCGGAGTACCCGGAGGAAATCCACGCAGGCACAGGGAGAACATGCAAACTCCAGGCAGGTGGTGTTGTGGTTGGAATTCAAACCAATGACCCTAGTGCTGCCAGGCAGATGTGCTAACCATTTAGCCACTGTGCTGCACTTCACCTGGATTTTCCTATGACTTACTCCTCCTAACCTTCCTTTGTGACCCACTTTCCCTAAACATTTCTTGTGACATATTAACCCCTTATTTTCTATTTTGAGCCACTCCCCCTAACCTTGTCCCATTTAAAAAAAAAAACACATTTTTGGAAAAAACCTAATATCTATTATTACAAAACATTTTTACAGAAACAGGAACAGCAAAACGTAGAAAATGATACAAAAGCAGTATATTCACGCTAAAAATAAACTAGAAGATACAAGCAGCTACTTATGTGATTGTGATACCAACCCTCTGTCCACTAGTATAGTTTTTATCTGTTATCCGTTTTGACTGGTTGATGGACATTTTGCGCATGCGTGGTCTGGCAGGTGGACATCTTGCGCATGCACTGTCTGTTGATCAGCGGACACCTGGCGCAAGCACAGTATCTTTTCATTGTAGCGGGCTTGTGTGTATTTATTCTCTCTTTACATGATGACGGATGTTCAGCCTGTTCCCTGAAGATGCAATTCTGACTAAATGCGTTGGGAGTGGCTTGCACGTGACGTCATCACAATTTTAAGCCGATGGCGATTGGTGTTTCTTCTGTTGTTTTTGGAGCTATCAGCCTGCTATGTTTTTATGGTTTTTATTAAGACTTGCTGTCTTTTGAACAAGTGTTGCTGGAAACCGTTTGTTTACTTTGGAGATTCAATAAATGGTGAGAAACCTTTTTTTACTTATTTCACCATGGAAGTTTTTTTCTTACTTTTTACTGTTGATGGATTTCTGCTTCTGTGCTGAGTAGATGGTACCTGTGGAGGAGTTTCATGGGCGCATGTGGCCATTTATAACATGATGGTACACCATTTTGGTAAGAGGTGACAGACAACATGGTGTACCTGGTGTTGCAAATGTGCACACCAGAGACTGACGCAGTCCGCCATTTTGTTAAGAATCTCCATTTTTCTCCTCATTCTCCCTCCCCCCTCACTCTGAGAGGCACAGTGACAGTGTATGTGTGTGTTAAAAAATGTCACAGGAGGGCATAGGAGCTATAAAGCCCCCCCCCCCGGGGAGCCAGGGCCTAGCTGTCCTAGAACCTGTGCCATTTCACACCTCGGAAGAGATAAGACAAGCTTTCCCAAGAGTTGAAAGAGATTCCAACCTAATAAACCCAACTCAGCGTAGGTGACAGAATCAGATAACACTTCTCAAAATCCATTTTCTCCCCTATGTCTCATATCTTGGAATATGAGAGACTTACATAAAAACCGGACATATCGTCAGATGGACGATGAGCAGGCGAACAGTTTGATGGGTCACTCGCCTTGTCTCGGACACACAGGAAAGCAGAAAAATGGATCTCATTAACCGTTCAGTGTATACTTTCATAATTCATATCTAATTAATCATCAGACTTGTCTGTATAATAATCTACCCGTGGGTGGAATGTCCCTTGTGCAGATGGACAGTTATGGGGCAAAATATGAGTTACGGGAGATTTTTGCTCTAGTTGAGGCATCCACCCATATCTCCACGCCCTAAGTGGGGATTGGTCCTTGACTTCAGAGCCACCCCCTGCTGGGGACTACAAAATAGGCTGTCAGGCCTAAGAGTAGGAAGTTGAAGACGTCTCCCATTTTAACATCAATACCACCTGGGGGAGACCCGTGCCCTTCTGCTCAGAAACTTGATCTGCTTACATCCAAGGCTTAATGGCAAGTACCTTAACCCTTTAACCTCTCTCTGTTATCTCTTTGCTGTGCTGTTATTCTCTGTATATTTATATATATATCTTAGTTACATCTTTTTTTCTGTAAATATTTTTATTGCACCCGTTTGACCTTTTAGTAATAAATCTTTCTTTCTGAAAGTGTTGAACTGTTTCTATAGCTCTGTATTGCAATTTACGAATCCCTGCCTCTAAAGAGAATGCTACTGTTTGTTTAACCCTCTGTATAACTGGCCTGTGTTATGACCGTGTTATGCAGACGATTATTTCAATCATTATAGTGTTATAGCTGATAACACCGAGTTTCCTCTTTCTCTGACAAAAAGGAGGTGGTGGGAGTGTGAAGGGTTAATTGCGTAATTAACCTGACACAGTAACAATCGCTCAGGCTGTCGGTACATCGATTATGGTCCATTAGCTGGAAAATTGTTGTGCAGGGTGCAGCTGGGTGTGGCATTGTTATGCACGTGACATCACGGTTTTAGATTGGCTAGTCCTTTGGTCACGAGTTTGGTGAGAAGGGCTGGGGTCACATATTGGACGTCACGATCGTGGGATCGTTGCATGTTGGTGGCAGCGATCTTGCGATCGTGACACCTGGTGTTGGAGTTTATCACACCACTGCATATGTGAAGAGTGATTGGTTGCACATTTGTAGATTGCTTTTGTCTCAGCACTTTAATATTGGACTCATTTGATTTATATGTTCAATATGGACTTTTTGCACTTATGCTAATATTTGCACATTGGACTTTTAAATACTTTATTCTTTTTTATGCACTTTATATTGATCAGATGATTCACTTTAGCACTTGCACTTTATTTTCTGAAAACACAGAGTACTTTGCAGTTGAACTCTCTTGCCTATGTTTATGTCTACAGTAATTCTACTAAACATATAGTCTACACTACAAACATAACACATTTAAATGTCATTGGTTTACCAGAAGATCAGGGCGTATTTATCATTAGAAAAATGTAGCACATACCATGTCACAAAGTTCAGTTCACATAAAAAAAGTGGCCTCTATGGCAATTGTTTTTACTTTAAAATGACTTTATTTGCTTAAACTATGGACCAACCATTATCTTAATCTTAGGCCAAAAAGCTTTTAGAATAACATAAGAGTGTCCCATAATGTACAAAATTACTTGTTTTGTGTTTTTATTCAAAAGTATTAGAAAATTATATTAATGTACATTAAAGGAACTGTGTTGCATTTTTTAAAATCAGTTTTTTTGATGGATTGATGCCGCTCGTGTGAAAGGTCCCTAAATCTTAATCTGTATTCTAAAATCTTGTAGTACCTCAATTGCACCTCAGAGCGCCGCTGTTGAACCAATAAGGGAAGGATGTGAGAGATGCATGCCTCTATGAGACAGGCAGTACAACTGCAAGAGTAGATATAGAGCATTTCTGCATGAGATGGGAGGGATTCAGGTCTGATAAAGAAGAAGGTATCCTGGAATTTAAATACAGTTAAGGATTATACATTCTACAAAGGATTCCTCTTATATATTCCCAACAACAGAAGGAATGGCTTTCTTGAATATGCATCATCAACAGTCTCTCCTGGAAATCAGATGGCAAGTAGTGATTTCATTATTTTCCTGGCTGTGTCATTCAGTCTCTGCTCAGATTCAGTATTCCATTGTAGAAGAAATGAGGAAAGGTTCAGTTGTTGGTGATTTAGTGAAAGATCTTGGAATGAACGTGAAGGATATCACAGCAAGAAAGCTCCGTATTGTGTCTGATGTTTCTGAAAAATATTTCAGTATCAATCTGGAGAATGGAGACCTTTTCATTGCAGAGAGGATAGACAGAGAGACATTGTGTGGGGCTGCAGCTGATTGTGTCCTGGCCTTTGATGCTGTGGCTGAGAATCCTCTAAATGTGTTTAATGTTAGGATTGAAATTCAAGATATAAATGACAATCCACCAATATTTCTCTATGAAACAATTAGGTTAGAAATTAGTGAATATGCTCTATCAGGAGCAAAGTTTGTTTTGCATAAAGCAGAGGATTTGGATATAGGAATGAATACACTGAAAAGCTACAAGCTAAGTCCAAATGAGCACTTTGTCTTAGGAGAAAGGATCAGCTCTGATGGCAGTATATTTCCTGAACTAGTTCTAGAAAAGCCTCTAGACCGAGAGACACAAAATTACCATGAACTAATTCTATCAGCTTTTGATGGAGGAAATCCAGTACAAACAGGCACTGCACTGATTAAGATTGCCATCACTGATTTTAATGATAATACACCTATATTTACCCAAGAAATATATAAAATAAGCATTAAGGAAAATATACCTTTAAATTCTACAGTTCTGCAGGTCAGGGCAACTGATGATGATGAAGGTGTAAATGCTCAGATTACATATTCTTTTCATACCCGGCCAAATAATATTCTCCAAATGTTTACAATTAATCACAAGAATGGAGACATTAGAACAAAGGGGCATTTGGATTATGAAATGAAAAAATACCATGAAATAATTGTGCAAGCCATGGATGGAGGAGGGCTGGCTGCCCATGCCAAAGTATTAATAGAGATATTGGATGAGAATGACAATGTTCCTGAGATAACCCTCACCTCCCTGTCTTCTCCTATTCCTGAAGACACATCACCTGGAACTGTGGTGGCTCTCATTGCAGTTCGTGATAAAGACTCGGGAGAAAATGGAGAAGTTTATTGTCAAATCATTGGGGATATTCCATTTGGATTAGTGTCATCAGCAAGTAACTTCTATAAAATTGTTACAAAAGATACTTTGGACAGAGAAAAGATGTCATCCTATAACATCACCATTCAAGCATCTGACAAGGGTTCTCCTCTTTTGTCTTCTGTAAAAGTCATCTATTTGGAGTTGGCGGATGTTAACGACAATGCACCTGTTTTTGAGAAGCTGACTTATACTGCATTTGTACCAGAAAATAACATACCAGGAGCTTCCATATTCCATGTACAAGCGAAAGATATTGACAGTGAAGAAAATGCAAAACTGACTTACTTTATAGTAAGTAATAGTAATGACAAAGATTCCATATCCTTGCATGTATCTGTAAATCCAGTGACTGGAGTCATTTATGCGCAAAAATCATTTGATTTTGAGCAACACAGAGAATTCCACCTTCAGGTCATTGCTAAAGATAATGGTTTTCCATCACTGAACAGTAGCACAACTCTAAAAAATTCATGTGGTAGACCAGAATGATAACTCACCAGTCATCTTATACCCACCAAGAGACAGTGATGGCCCTGTCTTTGAGATGGTACCTTGGTCATCTGAACAAGGATCCTTAGTATCTAAAGTGGTTGCAGTGGATGCTGATTCTGGACACAATGCCTGGTTGTCTTATTTTTTGCAAACTTCTGATCCATCACTTTTTACTATTAATCAGTATACTGGGGAGATCAAAACATCAAATGTTTTTCATGATAGAGATTCTCTAAAACATAAAGTTGTGGTCATAGTAAAAGACAATGGCTACCCACCCCTCTCTGCTTCTGTGACTCTACACCTGGTGATTGCTGATAATTTTTCAACAGATGATTCCTGAAATGAAAAAACAGCCAAGCAAGATGGACTCCCAGTCAAACTTACAAATGTACCTGGTGATTGCCTTGGCATTGATTACATTTCTGTTTTTGTTGACTGTGATAGTCGCTGTGGTCTCCAAATGTCGAGAGTCCCAATCTTTGCCTTCCTTTGGCCCTGTGAATACACACCTATATCATACTGTAGATCCAAGGTTTATTTCCCAGTTTAATGATGGAACATTGCAGCTGCCCTACTCATACAATGTTTGTCCAACTCTGGATTCAATGGACAAGGAACTTGCTTTCCTAAAAACTCAGCTGTCTGTTCCGGTTGTTCCTGTGGATAGACTAATTGATGCTGATGATTCAGGACTTGGTAATGAAAACATGAGAGACCCTATAACTGGTGGCAGTCTTATTTTGCAGGTATGTTCAAACTATGCTAAAAAAATGTTTCAGATATGTTCGTTTTTAAAGTCTGCATTGATCCATATAGCGCTGGCAAATCAGATTTGGTCTGTAATTATTTTGAATTTTATTTTATTTTAATGGTTTTGTGAAATAATGTTTTCTCTCGATGACAATATGAAGATTCATACAGTAGATATTAAAAACTAATTTTCAGCATAAGACCTATATAGTTACCAATCTGGCACAGAGTATCTCATATCTCGTTATGTATTAAATATCCATACCTGGAGCTCATCTTTAACTAATGTTTGACATAGACAGCCCTTTCTGCAGACTTTTGCCTTGTGACAGTGTTATAATGATGCTGTCTGGTCACTACAAGATCTCATATCTATGCTAGTTATCTATCATTGTGAAGGAGACCAAAACCCCTGGTGATAAAAATGAACCTAACCCACAATGTATTCATGTTCCTAAAAAAAAAAAAAAACAAGCATAAAGAAAAGTTATAGAGGCATAACACTAGTGATTATGAATATTTACTATTAAGTTATATTATATATAAACAATACAGTAAGGGCAAATTTTTACCACATCCTTAACAAACCTTAAACAAGTCAAAAACTAAATTCTCTTCTACTTTTAGCATTCCTAGTAGAACTGGGATATGTATAGTTAGATACAGAGCCAGGACAAGGGGTGGGCAGGAGGGGCGGCTGCCCTGGGGACTGTGGTATCACATGAGGTGGTGGTGCTGCATGGAGAGTGCCTACATACAAGCTGGCAGGAGTACTGGAAGAGAATTTTGAGCTTGCAAATGGAATTTATGCTTGGGTAAGCATGCAGATTAGTGCTCAAATTGTTTTGGAGGGGAGGCAATTTTTACTGACACATAATGCGTCAGAATTTTGGGGAGGGGGGCCGTTTGGCATCTTGGCCCTGGGCGCTACATGACCTTGTCCCAGCACTGGTTAGATGTATAGGCATGCTGTATTGATGTGTAATAATTTTAGGGGCTCAGCCCTATATGTTATGTATTGGTATCTATAAAATGTATGTAAATTTGAATTGCAGAGTGTTACGTATCTGGTCTTGATCTGTAAAGAATTCCTATTTTTAATTGATAATTCATAAAAATAATCAAGACTAAATAATTACTATTCCCAAAGGTCAGTACATTTCAATTGATTGCTATGAGTCACAAAACATAAGAATTAGCACTTGGACAGGAAGTTCTGCCATTTTATTTTCAATGGAGAAGAGTATTAATGCAGAGAAGATGAGTTAGAACCTATGTCAGGCTTTATTTTCAGTCTGCGTCTTTGATTGACTTTTTCTCACTTTCTGTAATATAAATTAATATAAATCCTGTATAATAATAATAATACTTAAATCCTTCTGAATATGAAAAAATGTTTATTATAATAAACAAAGGAACCTTTGCTTTTTTTGCTTAAAATAGAAGTTTCATTTAAAAATAATAGTCATAATATTGCACAGCACTGTCCAAATATAAACATTAAACACACCATTTTTTTTATTGTACTGCTCATCTCACTGGGTGTATAAAGGGGGCTCTTGGTGATGTCAGGACACAGTTATTGACACATATGATATTAGTCACTCTCCTGCATTTGGTCACTTCTTCCCTCTGCAACCTAGCAAGTAACAAAGAGAACATAATGGGGCACTATGAAGCTGGTTTATATACTAAACATAAATGTGCGCTACTTGAAGTCTAGTAATTTTACATGTATATTTGAATAAACAATATAGGGTTTGGGATTAAAAATCCCATTTCAGTCTTTGCAGATGACATCAAGCTGTGCAGTGGAATAATGTCCTTACAGGATGTCTTCAATTTACAAGCCGACCTCAATGCACTGTTTAATTGAGCAACTATGTGGCAAATGAGGTTTAATGTTGATAAATGTAAGGTTATGCACTTGGGGGCTAAGAATATGCATGCATCATACATACTAGGGGGAGTACAACTGGGGGAATCAATGGTGGAGAAGGATCTGAAAGGTCTGGTAGAACCTAATAATGGCATGCAATGCCAAGCTGCGGTTTCTAAAGCGAGCAAAATCCTCTCTTGTATTAAAAAGAGGTATTGACTCCAGAGAGAGAGATATCATATTACCCCGGTAGAAATCATTAGTAAGACCTCATCTGGAATATGCAGTCCAGTTTTGGATACCAATTCACAACAAGAACATTGGGGAACTGGAGAAAGTACAGAGAAGGGCAACTAAACTGATAAGAGGCATGGAGGAGATCAGCTGTGTGGAAAGATTAGAGGAACTGAATTTATTCTCTCTTGAGAAGAGGAGATTAAGGGGGGATATGATCAACATGTATAAATACATCAGTGGTTCATATAGTGAACTCGGTGTAGAGCTATTCACCCTGAGGTCATCACAGAGGACAAGGGGGCACTCTTTACATCTGGAGGAAAAGAAATGTAATCTCCAAACGCGGAAAGGTTTCTTCACAGTAAGAGCTGTGAAAATGTGGAGTAGACTCCCTCAAGAGTTGGTTCTGGCCAGCTCAGTGGATTGCTTCAACAAAGGCCTGGATTCTTTCTTGGATACACAGAATATAACTGAATACTAACATTTATAGGTAAAGTTGATTCAGGGAATATTCGATTGTCTCTCGGTGGATCAGGAAGGAATTTTTTACCCCTGCAGGAGCAAATTGTTTCATGAATTGCTGCTTTTTTGTTGCCTTCCTCTGCCAGACTAACTACAGGTGAAACTCGAAAAATTAGAATATTGTGCAAAAGTTCATTTATTTCAGTAATGTAACTTAAAAGGTGAAACTAATATATGAGATAGACTCATTACATGCAAAGCAAGATAGTTCAAGCTGTGATTTGTCATAATTGTGATGATTATGGCTTACAGCTCATGAAAACCCCAAATCCACAATCTCAGAAAATTAGAATATTACATGCAATCAATAAAACAAGGATTGTACATAGAACAACATCGGACCTCTGAAAAGTATAAGCATGCATATGTACTCAGTACTTGGTTTGGGCCTCTTTTGCAGCAATTACTTCCTCAGTGCGTCGTGACATGGAAGCTATCAGCCTGTGATGCTGCTAAGGTGTTATGGAAGACCAGGCTGCTTCAATAGCGGCCTTCAGCTCTTCTGTATTGTTCGGTCTCATGTCTCTCATCTTTCTCTTGGCAATGCCCCTTAAATTCTCTATGGGGTTCAGGTCAGGCGAGTTTGCTGGCCAATCAAGCACAGTAATCCCACGGTCATTGAACCAGGTTTTGATGCTTTTGGCAGTGTGGGCAGGTGCCAAGTCCTGCTGGAAAATGAAGTAAGCATCCCCATAAAGCTCTTCTGCGGAAGGAAGCATGAAGT